CTGCTTCTCCCTCTGACCCTCCCCCCTCTTATGAGCTCTCTCTCTCTCTCATTCTGTCTCAAATAAATAAATAAAATCTTTAAAAAAAAAGAAAAAGGTTTCAGTAAACAGAACTATCCGTACATAATTTTTAAAACACAAAATACAGGCATAATCCTACAATGCTCACCTTAAGCAGGAAACAAGATAACTAAAAAAAAATGTGATACTGGGGCCCCTGGGTGGCTCAGTCGCTTCAGCATCTCCCTTCAGCTCAGGTCATGAACCTCGGTCCTGGGATCGAACCCCGACTTGGGCTCCTTGCTCAGCGGGGAGCCTGCTTCTCCCTCTCTCCCTGCCCTGCCCCCCCAATTGTGCTCTCTCACGCTCTCTTCCTCTCTCAAATAAATAAAAATCTTTTTTTTTAAAGTGTGATACTGAAAATAAAATGGCATGTTACATTGGTAACATATTGTCATTTAAGAAATTATTGTAGGGCCATGTGTTTTGATTAGATAGTGATTTTACCTTTGAATTGTGAATTGTAATTGCATTTCTCTCAAAATGATGTATGGAAGCAGCTACTTTTTATTTGAAGATGATCTAATTGAGGTTAATGTGAACTTCTATTTCCAAGCTCCATCTTCATCTAATTTCACCATTCTTTGGGAAAATAATACAAGTCACAGCCATTTTTTATTGCCCAGTTGTTTAAAGTTTTATTCAAAGAGCAGGGTTTGACAGTGCATGGAATAAACAACTGTTTATGGCCACCTGTGGGGCCAGCACCAAAGGACTGAGAACATATTTTGCCCAAATTGTATTGAGTCTTGTCAAATCACACTGCTCTGTAAGAATGTCAGACAATTCAGTGTGGACTGACAGGTCAGCACTGTGAATGGCCAGTCCCGATTCCCTTTAATGTACTGAGCATCTATGCAATGGGGAAGCAATGCACCATGAGGCAAAGGGCCTAAGCCCAAAGACTACAGGTTCAGTAGGTCTTTGACTTCATAGAATACTCTAGAAACCTTGACAAGTGACCAGATTGAAACTACAATCATTGAAACTGAGATGGATGATGGGGCGAGGCTCAGTTATTCACAGAAAAATACTGGCAGTGGTTAATTACAATTCATGATTGGTATCATTACTCATAATATTTTGCTTAATTCTTGCAAAGCCCCTTTTGAGGTAGGTGTTATCCCCTCTATAGTCTGCTTCATGTTCTGGAGCTATGAAGTCAAAGCATTCAATCCAAGTATGCCAAGGTTTCCTATAGTCCACTCCTAGTTTTGCCTCGTGTTTTTAATTGGCTTTCATGAGTATTTTGAACTTTGTTTTACTCTTCTTCCTACTGAGGTTGAATGTGCATTTTGGAATTATGTCATTTACATAGAAATACTTTTCAAGTGGAGATGACTAGCATTCTAAGGAAAAACGAACCACTTTTCGAGTAGACCATGGAAATCACAAAGCCTGGTATTCCATAAAGTGGAATGAAATCTTCTGGATACTAGAAATACAATGTGAAGGTTATCAGCAACATTAATAACGTTTTCCTATGGGTGACTTTTGATAACACTTTTTTGTTGTTTTTTGTTTGTTTGTTTGGTTTTTAACCTTAATGGCAAGAATTTTTTTTAAGCACTGGTGTCACAATGAAATAGTATGAAATGTTAAGGCCAAAATTTGTTTTGGCTATTATATATAAATCATATCACAAGCAAGTTACTTGGTTGGTTGGTTGTTTGGTTCATTCCTTCAATCAGTTGCTTTAAAAGAAATGTTTTTCAAATGTCCTCTTTGTGATGGATCCCAAGAATCAGTTTAGAACGAAAAATACTTGGTAAACCATTCCTGGTGGGCAGAGCCCTGTTTCTGTTGGACTTCTTTGGGTTGGGCTGTTTCACCATCTTGTGTCCTAAAAACAAGCCAAGAGACAAAAAGGATTCTTAGAAGGTTTTGAAAATTATTCAGCAAACCACTTAATAACCCGCTATCTTGCAGGGAAAGAAAGCTGCTTCTGGTACTCTTGGAAAGACAGTACAATGTAACTGGCCAACATTCATAGCTGGAAACAAGTTGTGAAAGATGGGGTGGGGAGAGAACATCTGATTCCCATTTTGAAAACAAGGTCTCCAATTTTACTTAAAACCTAATGAGGCATATCATGTAATTTTATTTCAGGCACAAATAAAAAATAAACCTCATAAAAAAGTTAAGGAATGAAATAGTTAATCATCACAGCCTTACAATGTCTGGCTTCTTTAGAAGCTATCTAATGTGTTATAGCATCTCAATAAGACAGTAGAATTAGCCTAATAAATTGAAAAGAGGAAAGAGTAAGCAAGAAAGTACGATGTATACCTGCCTGAATGAACGGTTTCTATCTGATTAGTGAAGCTTCATGTAAACTGGGAACCTAGCTTTACACACAGGTGTGTGCTACTGAGGTGAAGCTAGAGTCAGGAGCTGGCTCTAGCAGTTAGGGCTGGGTTCAGGGCTCCAGGCCTCAGTTTCCACAGCTGTGAAACAATGGCTGGACTCATTTGGTGACTGCCAGGGGCTCTGTCCAGCTCAACGTTCATAAAGGACTGTGTCTCCCCATTTGTCTCAATAGCCACGGGGATGCAGGCCTTTGGAAAAGGAACATTTTTAGAAGGAGCCCTTTCTGAAATGCAGAATTCAAAGCCCACAATATGAAATACTGCCTCTGAATGGAAGACTGGATAGGAGGGAGAACTAATAAAGGGAAAACTCATGATCCCGAAAGAGAAACATGTTGCAAGGGTTTCTGGGAAAGTAAGATGGTATCTGAGATACCATGCATGAGCTCCCAAACCCACAGATTAAGAGTCTTATAACCTCAAGATGATACCATAAATCTTGAGAAATAACCTTAATAATAATAGTGGAAATCTACTGAACGCTTCTGTACCAGGTCCTGTGCTAAGCATGTGTCACGGATTCATTCCTTTAGTCCCACATCAGTCTGATGAGGGAGATGCTATACTATCTTTGTTTTAGAGGTGAGGAAATGGAGACCCAGAGAGGTAAGTAATCTGCCTAAGGCCACCTAGCTAAGAACAAGAAGGACCGGAATTTGAATCCAGACCTCAGGGCCAGATGATGAGAGTCCATCTTCTGTGTTAACACACATAGACATGGCCAGCTGAGTGTTCCTTATCTAATCATCCATGGAAAAAGGCTTTCTGGAATTTGGTACCAAGAATAGTACCGCTTCTAAAGAGTGACATAGTTCCTTCCTCTTACACAACCTTCCCGTTTGGCTGGATTGTAATTTGTCCAAGGCAGGGTTTTGCTATTCTTTATATCTGCCCAAATGCCAGGAGTCTAAGTGGTGCCAGAGAGGAATCCAAATTCCCCTCCTATCGGTGGAAACTGGAAATCAGAGCTCCTCCCCTACCTCGTGGCGGTTTTCACATCCAGAGACTGGGTGGGTTTGTAAGGCTGGTCACAGCTGGGGCTTGGGTCCAAGCTGGGTGATTTAGTTATTGGAGGGGCGTTGATCCTGGAGCTCAGATCACCACTCAGAAAGTTCTTGGCGTAGGAGGCAAGGTTTGGCACACTGACCACTCGGCTGGGCACTTCCTCCATCTTCTTTTTCTGTTTGTATTAAAAGGAAGGCCTGTTAGTGCCACCCCAAAGAGGCATCACTGTAAAAGTAAAAAGGCCCACCCAGCCAAAACCATAAGGGAGAGGAGGTGATAATTTTATTTATATACTTAGATGTTATTTTTTAAAGCATTTTTTTCTTCAGTCTACTTTATGTTTTAAGAAACACAAAGGTTTACAATTTCTTATCAAAAACTTATGGGGAGGGGCGCCTGGGTGGCTCAGTTAAGCGCCTGCCTTCAGCTCAGGTCATGATCCCAGGGTCCTGGGATCGAGCCCTACATCGGGCTCCCTGCTCCGCGGGAAGCCTGCTTCTCCCTCTCCCACTCCTCCTGCTTGTGTTCCCTCTCTTGCTGTGTCTCTCTCCGTCAAATAAATAAATAAAATCTTAACAACAACTTCTGGGGATAGATGTATGTTTTTGTAATTCAAAAAAATTTTTTTAGTCTTTAGAAGGCCATCTAAACCCCCCAGTAGGGGCTTGGGCCCATTGTCTTCATATGTGTTAATATTTCTGGAGTGAAACTTAGATCTTGTTGCACTGAGGGGCATATATAAAAATTATAAATGAGCTCACATCAGTTCAGGTTAGGTTTACTGCCCTTTGAACTATTAAAAAAATATTTTTTTGCACTTTTAGGATTTTGTGATAGCAGATGAGAGAATTGGATGTGAATATTTTCATTATAACAAATTCCAAAAATATATGCAGGGGTAAAAAGTTAAGCGGGAGATTCCTGCTCTTTACTCTCCTTCCTATCCCAGATATAACCATTATTAATAGTGACATGTTTATTTATAGGAAGTTTGGAGAATACAAAAACCCATAAAAATTATAAGTACACATTATCTGCCTAGCCAGATATAAATACTGTTTGTTACTAATTTGGACTGTTTCCTGTGAGTCTTATTTTCAATGGATATCCCTCTGAATGTATGCCAGCCCACTGACAAATAAGCTGCAGTTACCTTTAGGAAAACGAAACCAGCAGGATTGTGTAATGCTTGAAACCAGCAAACCAATTTACCTTCATGGAAGGGGTCAAATATCCTGGGTGAGGATTGAAAGAGAAGGACCGATTCCTATGGGACATGGCACTGGGGAAGGCTGCATAGTGAAATCTTCTCTCCTCCTGGAAAAACAACACAACTGAATCTACATGAGCCTAACCATACAGCATCGGGTTTGACCTGAAGGAAAAAGGCCGTGTGAGGGCAGATGACAGAGTGAAGGAAAGCCCAGGGGAGGGAGGGGAGGTCAGTGGGGATCAGGCTGCTGTCCACTGAAGCTTTGAGGAAGCACCTTTACTCCGGTGGCCTTTGAGTCCCCAGCTTCTCTTGGATAGGAAAGGGCAAGCTTATTTGAAACACTTTATACATATATATATCCAGGTACTCTTAGCATCTGAAAAGAGTCTACTGCAGAAAGTAAGACAAAGAAAGAAAACCCCAGGTACAATCACTACGTGGCCAACCTTGTTTATGTGTGTCCACTTTTCTCTCCTGCTGTATTATTTTTAAAGCAAATCCCAGTCATTGTATAATTTCATCTGTAAAAACATCAATATGTATCTCTAAGAGATAAGGACTCTTTAAAAAAAAAACAAAAACAAAAAAAACCTAACCACAATACTTTTGTCACATTTAGCAAACAAGCTATTCCTTAGTGTCTAATTTTCAGTTAGTGGTGAAATTTTCCTGATGGTCCTATCAGTGTACTGACATGAAACAGTGGCTCTGGCAGGGGTGGGAATGGGAGTGAGATCTGAGAGGGCTATATTTGTGTGAGGCCACCATAAGACTGTGGATTTTACTTGGAGAAGATGGGAGGCCACAGGAGGTGCTGAACAGAGCCGTGCTGGCTGTCATCTGACCTCTTTTCCTAGATTGCTCTGGTTCATGTGAGGTCAGCATGTGGGCAAGGTTCAAGTGAGTGGGGAGACCAGTGGTTCTCTATGGTGTGTGTGAGGGGCTTGGACTAAAGTGGTAGAGGCAAGATGGGGCGGGTGGGGGGAGGCGGCTGGATTTCTGATGGGGCTAACTAGCCCTTCCACCCTGGGCTACACGGACAGGAGTGAGTCGAGACCCACTGTCTCCAGGGCTGAAGGTAAGGCAGGGGAAGGAGTCCCCGCCAGGTCAGCTGGGGTGATACAGACAGCTTTCAACCAGACCAGAGAGCACAGAGAGGCAGGTTAGTGCCCAAAGCAATGGATGAAGGATCCAGGGATGTGAGGTGGGTGGACTGTGTGAATGGGCAGGAGTGGATGGAGGGAGGGAGCTTCCAAAGAAATGGTCTCAGGCTTTGGTGGCTGTTGGATACAGAACCAGAGGGAGAAAACTTTTCTAAGGAGTCCAGGGGATGGCTTGCTAACTGCAAAGCAGGTAGTCATTTTTGCAAAAGGAAGATCAATAACCAATAATTGGCTTGACTGATTTACTAAAAATCAAACAGAAGGCAAGCCATTCTAGATTTTCCCAATTCCGTAGGTTAAAAAACCAGTCAACGTCACATAGATGCTGTGGGACTTGAGTGCTTTTTTTTGCCTCTATTTTCCTGTATTTATTTTTTTAGTATGTTTTTTGTTTTTTGTTTTTGGTAATAGACAAAAGGAATCAAGGATCTTCTGGAGGTGGTTTTAGGATTATCAGGATTAAAATTGTGGGTACCCAGAGCAGGGCCAGGTGCAAAGTGAATGGCCCTCCGGAAGGAACTCTGCAGGGCCCCCTGGTGGCCCTGACAGCCTCACCATGAGCTGCTTGATGATCTCCTCTCTCTCCTTCAGGCGGGTCTGCAGACGGCCTATGAGCTGAACGTCCTCTGGTCTGGACGCCCCCTTCCCTGGCTTCTCTCCAGAATCTGTCAGTCTGTTTGGAGCAAGCATGCAGTTAGTCTCCTTACTGGCATCACCCAACAATAAACAGGTGGACGTGGTGGGGATGCTGCCATGAGCGTAGCCTGGACAGCTAATCTCTCTATTCACGAAAGGGGAAACCGAGGCCCTGGGAGCTTGCCCGGGGCCACCCACTGAGTTGGCTGCAGAGCTCCGGGTGGAGCCCAGGACCCCAACTCCCAGTCTGACCTTTGCCACTTCCCCCGAAGCTGCGGGTCCTGTGTATGATACGCACGCTGCCCTCAGTGAAGCGTCAGGAACCAGGGAGGTCACTGGACAAAGGCCTCCGCGGAATAATGGTCCCCCCTCAAGCTCAGCGTTGTCGCCGCCACCACTAGGCTAATGCCGACGTGGCTCTGGCGCCATCTGCTGGCCGAGATGGAGCGCGGCATGCGCCGGTTCTCAGGCAGAGCAGCGGGGCAGCTGGTACCCCCAGCCCTTTCAACATGAAGCTGGAGAGAAAGAACTCTCCTCATGGTGGGGGGAGGGTTACGGCTGCACGTGACCTATGAACTGTAGCTGATAAGAGGCCAGGACTTTGGGGTGAGGTGACGGGATCTGATCCCTACTCTGCCTTTTTCTAGCTATGTGACCTTGGCCATAGCCTTTCCCTGTGACCTTCAGTTCCCTCTTTAAAATGGGCATGAAACCAGGTGGTTGTGAGGATTCAGTGAGATAATGGCATATGGTAAGTGCCCATTAGATGGTAGCCCATAAAACCTTCCACTCTGGATTTTGGATGATTTGCTTTGTTTTGGAGTCAGTGGAGAACACTTTTTAAAGAGCGAAAGCTAAGGGTCAGACAGGTGACATTTAGATTCAGTGCTGCTTGACCTTGGGCAAATGGCTTCACCTGTCACCTTCCAACTGGTCTCCCTGCTGCTAACCCTGACCACCCCCCGCAAGTCTCTTCTCCTCGCAGCAGCCAGAGTGACCCCGTTAAAAGATAAATCAGACCATGTCACTCCTGCTCAAAGCCTTGCAGTGGCTTCCCAGTGCACTCTGAACACATCCAAACTCCTTCCTGTTTAGTGCAGGGTCTCCTTCATCCCTCCCAGCTACCCCACCACCCTCAATTCCTACCACTCACCCTCTCACTTAGTCCTGGCTGTTCAGTCATGTGGAGCAGGCCCCAGGGCCATTGCACTTGCCGTTGTCTCTGCTGGGAATGCTCTTCCTCTAGATGGCTCTCTCACTCCCCCACCTGCTCGTGCTTAAGTGTCACCTCCTTAGAGAGGCCTTCCTGGCCCACCCTTGCCACTCCCTAGACATAGATCCTGTTTTTCTTCTACCTTTCGCTACCTGATAGGAAGTCAAATATTTATTTGCTTCTTTCTGTCTAAATTCCCATGTAGCATTTGTGAGCTCTGTGAGAGCATAGTCATTGTTTAGTTCCCGGCTCTAACTCCAGAGCCTAAAACAGGGCAGGACACACAATAGGCTCTTAATAAACATCTGTTGACTGAATCAGTGAAGGCATGTGAACGTGCACAAGGCCCCTCGGTTCCTTTATCTGTCGGGGGAGTAACAGTTTCCACCCTGAAGGACCGCTGGGAAGATAAATGAGATGAGGCATGTGAGAAGGGGGCAAATGTTCATGAAAAAAGTGGCCTTGATCCTTCTGATTTCTTCCCAATGTGAGGGTCAAACCAAGCCCACAAGGCAGTGCTCATTCCTCACAGATTCCCAGTGCCCTACACAAAGAGAAGGTAGGCTCCCAAAGGGAGGGGTGACCAACTCTCCCCATGTGCCCAGGACTGAGGTGCTTCTTGGAACTCGGGACTTGCAGTTTCAAAACTGGGAGAGTCCCAGGCACACTGGGATGAGCTGGTTACCCTAATAAAATGTACGTCGACTAGCCCCTCCCAACCTGGGGCCCCAGGCCTCACTTACTCAGTTTCCAGGGCAGCCAGCCGGGCCTGGAGCCGGGCCTGAGCACTGCTGAAATCTGCCACCATGGCCTGCATCTCCTTCCGGTGTTCCTGGCGTAGCTTCTCCACCTCCCGGGCCCGCTGGGCTTGCTGATCCTCCTCCAGCAGCCTGCAGGTGGATGGACGCTCAGCTGGGTTTCCCTGGGCTCTGAGGACTGAACCTCGTGGGCACTGGGGATTCTCCACCCTCTGCTGGGTGGCTGGGTTGGGGAGACAGTCTGGGGGAGTGGTTATATGAATGTGGGGTCAGGACACTGGGAAGAAGACCTAGGCTCTCTAGTTGTGGGGTCCAGGATATACCCTGCTTGTGGGACCCCTTCTCAGCACCTCCTACCCCAGCATTCCATTTGTAGGTATAAACTTTCCAGCAAGGGGGTGAAAGAGCTGTGAATTCAGGACTGATAAGGAGCTATCCAGCTTGGGTTCGGTAATAACAGTAACCCCCACGGCTTACCAACGGCTTCCTCTGGGCCAGGGCCGGTGCAAAATCTTGCTTACATTTCACTGCATTCCACGACAGCCCTGAGAGTTGGTGGTCTTACCTCCACTTGCAGCCCAGGGCACCGTCCTGGGGAAGTTAGCTGACTCTCAGGAGCTCACACAGCTAGTTAAAGAGCACCCAGCACTGTTTGAACTATTCCATCGCCCTGTCTCCCTATGGCTGGTTTTGAAGATGCTTTCGGTATGGTTAGGTCTGATTCCACAAATTCCTTGATTTGTAGGGAAATAGGGTTCCGTCTTCTAGTCCAGGGCGAATCCTCTGCAGTGTCGAGCCTAGAATACTTTTCGTGGGTCTGGAGTAACATCAGTGAAGTGCTAGCATTAGGGAGTCTTTCCTTTGGGGAGATGGGAGGAGCCTGGGGGGGAGGTGCTTAGGTTTCAGAGGCTCTCTAAGGAGCAGTGGAGGGAACGAGGGAGGGCAGGGAGCCCCGCGGCCTGGAGACCCACCTGCGCTGGTCGCGGAGCTGCAGCGCCTCCTGCTGGTGCTGTTCCACCTCGGCCCGCAGCCGCTGCACCGCGTCCTTGAGCTGCGAGTTCTCCTCCCAGAGGCCGCACGCCTCGCTCGGACTCGGCTCCGCGGCGCCCTCCGGGGAGCCGGCCTGGCCCGGGCCGCCCCCGTCCTGGGGAGAAAGGACCCAGGAGAGGTGTTTTCAGGGGGCGCCAAGGCGGACGAGGCGCAGAGGGCCCCAGACGTGCCGCGCAAAGCCGGGGACCGTGCGCGGCCCAGCCTCCTGCTCCAGATTCAGGAGCTCACAGGCAGGCTCCAGGTTTTCCCGCATCTGGCCCCTCACGAAGTTCAGTAAGGTCGGTGAGCCAAGAACTTGGCTTAAATCAAAACCAGCCAGGGGCGCCTGGGTGGCTCAGTTGGTTCAGCGGCTGCTTCCGACTCAGGTCATCGAGCCCCGCATTGGGATCTCTGCTCGGTGGGGAGCCTGCTTCTCCCTCTCTCTCTCTCTCTCTGCCTGCCTCTCTGCCTACTTGTGCTCTCTCTCTGTCAAATAAATAAATAAAATCTTAAAAAACAAAAAATAAAAACAGCCAAACACTCCGCCCGTTTTTCAGACTTCCTTGCCTTCTGAGACTCTACCCAGAGCGCCCGTCCCACCTAAACAGCACTGCTTCGGGGAAGAAGCGATCAGCTTTCTCCTCTCTGCCATCACCGAATCCGAATCCCGGCTGTGGCGAGATTACCCGGCAGGGCGCTCCTTTGTTTAATGCTGGTTTCCTCCACTAGCCCAGGAGCGGTCCCGGGAAGGCACCACCTCCCCTCCAGTTTTCCAGTCCTCTGGCTCCTGGCGCCGTGGCTGACATCCAGTAGGTGCTAAATAAATGCTTGCTAAATGCAGTGACGCTTGAACGCCAGGGGTTCAGACAGAAATTCGAAGATCTATGTCCAAATTAAATGGGGTCAGAGTTAACCCCTGCTTAGTGAATGCTTCGGTTTTCAAGGCCGCTCAAACATGCCTGAAGGTTTCTGCATTTGCTCATTGCACACGAGGACTGAGCAGCTTGGCACAGAGAGCATCTGTGGCCCACGCCTTACACTTCCTGCTTCCTGCCCTGGGGCTTGCGTGTGCCTGAGACACCCGTGGGCACATGGGCGCCGGGCACTCCGATATGTATAGCGGGGAAGAGCTTGGTTAAGGTCCTGTGGGGCCACCCTTGACTAATGGGAGAGCCTGATGAATAAAGCATCCGCCTCTGGACAGGGGGACAAAGACAATTATTTCACAGGGCTCCTCAGAAGATCCCAGCAGGTGGGACACCACTTCCCTGCAGTGGGGGCCATGTAAGGATGCACCCCTGTATGGGGTACCCTTCCCTTCTCTCTTTCGGTCCTGCTGCCTGGGGCTGTTCCTCCTTGCTAATACTCCCACATTTCTTCTTTGTGTGGGTTTTCCTCTGAGGCCTTGCTGTTCCTCCCAGAGGGTTCAGGGCTTCCCTCCAATGAGGTGAAGGGGAGGGCAGGCACCTGGTGGCCCGCCAGGTATCATCTCATCCACCCAGAGATCCCGGGGTTCTCTATCCACAGCACTCAGGGAGCTTGTCATCGCAGATGTCACAATCCCACATTTCCCCTGCCCCCTTCCATACGTATGGGTGGCTCCCACCAATCTAGAACACTTAATGGAAAACATTCTGTCTTCCCTCTGCTACACTTTACTGACTGGGCTGAGCTCCCTGTGATTCATCATTTAATATTCCTCATTAAACACAAATCGTCTTCAGGTGCTCAGTACTGGCAAAATCTCAAGTGAACGATCCCCGTGTTCCCGGGATCTTCAGCAGGGCTGGGACACCAACTAATCATCAGCATCCACAGACTTTGTGCCAAGTGCGGAGAGTGAGGGTGGAGATGAAATAAGGCAGACCAGCCTGGTTCTCAAAAGACTCCTGGTCCGGTTGAGAACATCCATGAAGAACATCCATGACATGACGGCTGCCTAACTGGACCATGAAGTAGACACTAGGGCCAGCTGAACTATGATAGGAAATTCTCTGGGAGCTCAGGGACTGGTGGGATCACAGGTGTGGAAGGGAGACCCCTAGAGCTCGCATCAGCAGCACATATACTCAAATTGGAGGGGAAACTCCTGGCCCCGAGGGTGAGCTGGGCACCGAGGAGGGAGGAAGGCATCCCAAGCAGGGAGCGGACACATGCAAAGGCCCAGGGGCAGGAGGCAGGGCCCACGTTTAGAGCAGAGGGGGATACGGCTGAAGATACAAAGTGTGGCCCATGGGGTGAAGGCTTTTCATTGCCGGGCATCTGGAGGTCGTTCTGATAGCAGGAGGGAGTCACTGAAGCCTTTGTACAGATGCATACCTGACATGGACTGGTACACGGTGGGCTCCGGCAGGGGGGAGGGGGGGTCTGGGCTGTTAGGAGGTCACTGTGCTGCCGGCCAGGTGGGAATATGGATGTACAAGGAAGGGGCTGAGGGGCCAAGTCTGACTAGGAAGTTCAAAGAGAGTTGGTGTTGAACCTTGCAGCTCCCATTGATGGGAACAGGGAGGTCGAGGCAGGGTGTCTGTCTGGAGACGCGTTCTGAGGCATTCTCTGCAGATTTGAAGGAGTAACCCTGACTGGCTGATCCTGGCAACGCCATTCTGAAATGCTATTGTATCTGAATTTAAAATGACATGCAGCACTTAAAACTTGGTTTTTTTGTTTTTGTTTTTGTTTTGCTTTTCAGAATGGGAGCCTGCAGGCCCATCAAGGATCTCCCAGGACTGTGGAAGAAGGGGCTTCCCCATTTCAGAAGGGAATGATGAGCACCCGGAGCCCCTTCTTTATGACTTTCTCCCTGCAGCCTTGACGCTGCTGCAAGAGGGGTGCTGTGTGGGCAGAATGGGGGCGCTGACCTCGGCAGCGACGGTGTGGTCCTCGCTGTCCCCTGGGCACTGGGCGATCGCCTGCCGCCTGCCCACGCTGCCCAGAGTCCTCAGCTCTGCCTGCAGCACCTCCAGGTCCTTCTGGTGCTCAGAGCAGGCAGCCCGCTGCTCCGAGAGCTCCTGCCTGAGGGACTCTGGAGAAGGAAGAGCTATGGGTTTTTAAAGAGAAAATCATTTTCAAGTGCTAGTAAATTTGATACTTTACTTTTCTGTTATGGACTTTTTGAGATTCTATTTTTGTTACTGCAAATTATTTTTGAAACATTGTTCCAATAATTCCATAAGCCATGAGATGCGTAGAGGCCTTAGTACAGAGCAAGTGTTCAACATATACTTGTAAAGTAAACAAGTGATGTTTAGAGTGGAAATTGATGACATTGTAAAAGTGTATCCATTGCAAAGGATTTCCCATAAACTTACTAAGCTTCTCTGAAAGTTATAGTATATTAAACACAGCAAAGCTTAGTTATTCTGATGATATGTTGAAAAATTTACTTGGTTATCTTTCCTCCCCACTAGGATTTTAATATAGTGATTTCTATAGCCTATTTTCTTTAAAAAGTCCAAACCCAACTCAATATTTTGAAATCCTTTATCACAAAAATATATGCAATAAAACCCTTTAGCAAAGCATAGAGTGGGTTCATTTATTACCCCTTCCTCTTCTGTCATACATTCCCTTCCCTCCCCTTCTCCCTCCCTCCCTCCATCCATCCACCCATCTACCCATCCATCCAACCACTCCACCTCTCTACACATCCACCTGCCCATCTATCCATCAGCCCATCCATCCATCCACACATCCACCTGCCCTTCCGTCCTTCTACCATTCCACCTATCCATCCAGCATGGTCGGGTCCCCACCCCAGTGGATCAGGTAATCTGATGGACACTCCCTGTGCCTCACACACTGACCTACCCTGCAGGTCAAGTGTGTCTCACACAGACAGTGAAATCGCAGTCACTGGGACCAGGAATGTCTACTTTAATCGCCCTGTCATGGTAGGTGCTCCCCCCGCCCCAATACCACCCACAAAGCCAACGACTTGCTATCATTACAGAGTTCCCAGAGCCCCTTTCTCCTGGGGCTGTGTTGAGAATCCCAGCATGTACCCAGGCTCTCTCCTGATTCTTTTGTCCAGGAGAGGACCAGGCTGCTGTGGGATCAGAGGGGCCAGGGAAGTGGCCGTAGGGACAGCTGCTGTTGGGTGCTGGAATCACCAGGGTGTTCAACGTGATCTGAATCTTGTCCTGTATCTGAGACATATGGCACCACCTGGGTTTTATCTTGTGTAATCCGTCTTCTTCAGATGATGCCAACTCTAGCATTTCCCACTTGGATGTTAACTGGGTAATCAGTGGGACTCTCTCTCTCTCCTGCCTGCTCCCCACATCACTTCCTCCAGAAACGGGCAGAGCTGACGTGCTGACGTGCTGACATACAGTCTGCAGGACATGCTATCTAATGAAAGCGCAACCAAACGGCAGGTAGATCGTACGCACTTAACGGAGATAAAGAAAATACTCTTTCCCAAAATTCTCTTAAGGAAAACCCTGTCTGGGTTTGAAAAAAAATATTTAATAAGGCCAATTTGGTCTTTAATGCTAGACATGAAATGAGAGACATTTGTCTTGCTCTTAAGAGCGAGACGGGAGATGAAAATAAAGGAGAAAATGAGGGAAAAGATGGTCTACAAAACCAGAAAGAGGCTTCTAGGGTCAGCCATGCAATGTGGGAATATGGTAATAATGATAACAGTGAACATCTGCATAGCATTTGCTGCATACCAGGTGGATGCTGTTATTATTCCCATTTTACAGATGAGCAACTGAGACACGGAGCAGTTAAGTAACTTGCCCAAAGTCAGGCAACTTGTGAGTGTTGGAGCTGGGCTTCAAGCCCAAACAATTTGGCTCCGGAGATCTTTACTGCTTCTGGTAACTTCCAGAATGCTCTGTGTGACTGTTTTTGGATGTCTGAAGAGGAGGTGAGTTTCGGGCTGAGGATGATGTGGGGGCAGGCAAAGGAAGCAGAGGAAAGTGCAGGAGCCTGGAGGCCTAAGTCCCCCAGATTTTCAGAAATCTTCAGAATGGAAATGAGAGATTGAGGCAATGCCATGAACATCTCACGAAGGCTCAGAGATCTGGCTTATACTGACTAATGATGATAATACAGATGCCTCCACCTTTTGAAAGTTCGCCTTACACCGCTTTGCTTTTAAAAAAGACCTACATTAGAACCTATTTTCCCGAATCTAGAGAAATCCGAAGACTTTCATTTTTACATAAAAAGGCGAAAAGGGAAAACAGCATTCTTTGCGGGGTTTGCTGCCAGCCAGCGGTCTAGAAGCAGCGCGCACGCCGGGCCGCGAGAGTGGCGCCCCCAGCGCCTTCCCCGGGAATCACACCCAGCATCTCAAGGTGGAGCCCCAGAGCTCTGCGGGCGTCCGGGAGCGTCTGGGCTTGGCCTCCATCTACTGTGCGCATCCGTTCGCATCAGGAAAGCCTAAGAGAGGTGACTTTTGGCGTCTGGGAACGCTCCAGTGTTTCATTTAAATTAATGGTAATCGCTTCTTCGCTTTTCGCCATTTTGACTTAGGAAATGTGTCATACGAACGCCCTGCCTTCGGAGAGCTGAAAACCTGTCCTGCAGTCTACAGCCACCAGGCTCCTGTCATATGCTAGCCACTTTCCATTTAATAGCTCATCACATCCACGCACCGCCCCTATGAGGTAGGGGCAATGGTGACTCCATTTTCTAGAAAAGGAAACTGAGACCGACAGTGACCCCCCACCCCCACCCCAGGTCTCCCAGCTAGCGGGTGGCAGAGCCAGGATAGTCACCCCGGCCTGTGTGCCTCCAGACCCGTGGGCCCCATCTTGCCCCTGGTCTCCACGTGTGGACCCTGCCGGTAGCTAGGCCCTCCCAGGGCCGGCTGGCTGTATACCTAACAGCAGAGCCTGCTGAGCCTGCATCCTCTCGAGCTCCCCTTGGAGCTCCTGCTGGGCCTTTTCTTCCAAGGCCTGGAGCTCCAGCCGGTGTGCCTGGTGCTGGATCTGGAGGCTGTGGCTGGATTCCTTCCTCAAGCGCTCCTCTGTGGCCTGTGGGTGAAAGTGGGAGAAAGTGGGCATGGAGGAAGACCTGTCCCCTCTGCCAAGTTCCCCCTCTGCGCCAGGGCCAGCTTGGCACTCACCACTCCTCAGTGGAGGGCTTATTAGGCTACTGAGAATGACCTGTCTGAGATGATGGTGATGGCTTGGCCCCAGCAGCCATTTTGTACCATGTGAACCTAACCCCAATCCACAGCTGATTAGACCAGAGTGGACACCGGTTCCAAGCTGAGCCAGTCACTGGGAATTTGATGTTAGGAGGCCAGGGAGAGAGAGAGCAGGAAAGAGACGGACAGACAGACAGACACTGACTGGTTGGCTCCAGTTTTAACACACTCAGGAGGAGTGAGGTGATCATCTTACACCTGCCCCAGGACCAGAGAGGTGGAGAGAACTGTCTGTGAGGAGCAGAACAGGAATGACAGAAGGAGGGGTCCCTACAGCTTTTTCAGTCTCTGGTCTAGTCTGGCCCCCAGAACTGGCTGTGTCTTTGCCCTTAGGTTCACTTATTATTCTTTTCTTACTTCATTTATGATTATTTCATTCAGTCAGTCAGTTTTTTTTGCAACATCCATTTATTGAAGGTCTCTTATATGTCAAACACCCAAAGCGGGTTCTATGAGCAGCTGTGTAAACTTTAATAGAAATCTCTTCACTGCCTAAGCTAGCTCAAGTTGGTTTCTGGGGGTCAAAACAATAATGGTCCCCAAGATGTCCGTGTGGGAATCCCTGGGACCTGTGAATATGTTACTTTCCTTGGTAAAAGGAGTTTTGCGGGTGTAATTAAGTTAAGGATCCTGAAATGGGAGATTATCCCAAATTATCTGGGCGGTTCAATGTAGTCACAGAGGTCCTTATAAGAGGGAGGCAGGACAGCCAGTGGGAGGCGAGGTGCTGATGGAAGCATGGTGGAAGGAGGAGGAGTAGGGAGGGTGCTGGGGAGAGGGAGAGGAAGAGAGAGGGCTATCTGAAGATGTTACATGCTACACTCTTGGCTTCGATGATGCAGGAAGGGGCCAGGAGCCAAGGAATGCAGGCAGCCTCTAGAAGCCAGAAAAGGCAAGAAAACAGATCCATCCCTTGAGCTTTTAGAAGGAACCCAGTCCTGCCAACACCCTGACTTTAGGACTTCTGCCTCCAGAACCGTCAGATAATTAATCTGTCATGTGTTCAGTCACCAAGTTTGTGGTATTTTGTTAGAGTGCCAATAGGGAACTAATACAGTTTCTGGGCAGAGAGTTCCAGTTAAGACCGAGCCCATCTTGGGGCACCTGGGTGGTTTAATGGGTTAAGTGTCTGACTCTTGCTTTCTGCTCAGATCATGATCTCAGGGTTGTGAGATCAAACCCTACTTTAGGCTCAGCACTCAGTGTAGCGGGTGCTTCTTAGGATTCTCTCTCTCTCCTTTTCTCTCTGGACCTTCCCCCACCCCTGCCCTGTGTGCATGCACACACTCTCTCTCAATAAAATAAAATAAATAAATGGGCGCCTGGGTGGCTCAGTTGGTTAAGCGACTGCCTTCGGCTCAGGTCATGATCCTGGAGTCCCAGGATCGAGTCCCGCATCGG